ACACACACACACACACACACACACACACACACACACACACACTGCCTTTTACGTCGCCGGGTAATTTCATCGAACGGTTCCTAAAAACGCCTAAAAACCGGGGGACTACATTTTGTCTTGGGATTGCGACACCCTGTCTGCGCCTGTATGCAGTATGACTCAGAGTTGAAGCGGACAGCGTAGAGGAAGAGATATCGTGACGAAACCGCTCAAACTTGCAAGACTCATCTCTACATCTCTATACCAAATGTGCTGTTGTATGTCACGGGACGCCCATGTTACACGATGTAATATATGTTATATGCAATACGCAGTGTACGTATGTAACGCTATATATTGTAAAAGCAAGGCAAAATGCATGCTATGTACTACCACACATTGTGTGTAATGCACAATGTATATTACGTATATAACCTTAAATATTGTATGTCGCATGTATATATCATGTAAGAGGAATAAAGACGAATACTCTGTGCGTATTCCCTAACAGTGTGCCTTGCCACACGGTAATATCAATCAATATTCCATACCCGTTAGGTCATATTCTCTTAGCTCGCTCTGAATGCATGGAAACACATGCTGGTGTAGCATTTTCTGAAAAGAGAAACTTCAAATCATCACGTCTTGAAAAGTACATAATTTGCTCAATTTTGCAAGTCTTTCATATATAACAGCCTGTCCACAAGACGACAGGCTCTTAAGTATAAGCCTTAAGGATACCATCATACATTCATTGCACTTACATTACATGGTATTAACTATTCAGACAGTCTAACAAAGCTTCGACAGTATCCGCGTACGTTATATTAATAATTTCTATTGGGACAACCCTTATGAGAAATACAATTAGGATTTTCTAATCGACACGTTAAAATACCTATTAAGCGATAAAATGCGGTATATTGTTGTCCGAAGTGTACGTTTATTTCTCGTTTACACTAATAGAAACACGCGTGACATCATTACTGCTTTATCTGAGGATTTGCTTGTAAATACTTCTCAAGTAGGTTGCAATTTCCATAACTCTATATTCGCATCTTAAAAAAACGTTGTCAATAGGCCGGAATGTAGTTGAGCAGGTATTCTGACCCAGGCATATTTCATTTCTTTCTGTTTTTCTGTTTTTATAATATCATATATGAATAAATAAATAAATAAATAAATAAATAAATAAATAAATACATATACACACACAATAGCTAATAATACTTCTTATTTACCTATTATGTACCTAATATGATCTATTAGGTATTATTAGCTCTTGATATATATTTTTTACATATAAAAGCCGACATTTAGGTAACGAGGCGTGACCTGGGAGCAGCGCAGGATGCGTGGACCGGTTACCTTGGGTATGGATGGCAGATGATGAGGAAGCGTACTGAAGAACTGCTGCTTCTGGCTGAGATCTTTCTGCTCCAGGACGTCGATGTACTGCAGTGCTGCCACCACCGGATCACTAAAGTACTTGATCTACAAGGCACGCAATACAATGCTAACTACAAGGCGCGCGTGCGTGTGTGTGATTGCGGTTGAGGCGGAGATTCACGGACGAACATGCGATAGAGATTCCATGCGAATGCGCGGGTGACTTTTCTTTTATAAAAATGGACAGAAAAGGCTTTCGCTTTAACTGCGCGCGTGTCTGGATTCGCTGAACGAGGAAAACGGGGTACCGACGACATCGCGACTATGCGCTGAGTTTAAATAACGTTTTAGTTCGAAGCCAAATGCGCTTTGTCGCATCCAGCTTCATCGCTTACTCGTTACTGGTACCGAAACGAAGAGGCCGAAATTCAAACGCGAGAGAACTGACTAACCTGCTTGGCTAACCCGGTGGGAAATCGGTTTACGCGTCGTTCCGGACCCGTGTGAGCGGTGTTCACTGATTCAATCGCGTAAGACAGTTAGATTTTTTTACTTTCACTACGAGACGAATTTTTCTCGCGCACAGATCATATTAGGTGATATGGACGCCTGATTCATGTACTTCGAAAACGATTGCAGTGCATGCATTTTTCCCGCACCGGCTTCAAATCACTACACAGCTGACGTTCGTACGATGACCGCACAGTTTCCACGCTTACAACACACACATAATAAAACACAATATAATCTACCATCACACGCTTAAAGCGCGCGGAAACTGCGCGGTCGCCAGTTTCGTCAGGCCGCCGTGTGAACTGCGTATTGGTGCCTAATAGTGGAGGTGACGTCACAAACAGACTCAGTTTCTCAGTAGTGTCCTCCAGTGCTACTACTTACAAGCGAGAACAGCTGCGCTGTCGGTCTGTGTCGCACCTCTAGCTGCAACATTTTCTGTACGGGCTCCTGCAATTCTGCGGGTATCTGACCGAGCGCCTCTTGTAGTGTGTCCTCTAACTATATGCACAACAACACACAGCCGCACATTACTCGTGTAAGCTACCGACGCATGATCGTGTGCTCCTACACAGCGAGACGGCAGCTGGAAGAACGTCGGAAGAAACGTGTAGAGAGAGAGAGAGATGACAGACGAAGACGTCATATGTGATTATGCAGTGCACGTAGCAGAGAGCAGGAAATAATATGGCGTCGTCGTCCCGAAGCAACAGCATGGCGGCTGCAGAAGCGGAAGCTAGGAGGCGCCCCGGACGAGACCTACAGGAGAAGCCCCGGACGAGACCTACAGGAGACGCCCGGACGAGACCTAGAGAAGACGCCCCGGACGAGACCTAGAGGAGAAGCCCCGGACGAGACCTAGAGGAGACGCCCCGGACGAGACCTAGAGGAGAAGCCCCGGACGAGACCTTGCCCCGGACGAGACCTAGAGGAGAAGCCCCGGACGAGACCTAGAGGAGAAGCCCCGGACGAGACCTAGAGAAGACGCTCCGGGAGAGGAAGCCTACATGAAAGTGAGACACAGACGAACGCAGGCGCATGCAAACAACGAGTGAAGCAGGCAGCGATGTAGGTGGGTATGACCGCGAACGTGTCGGCAATAGAGAGAGAGAGAAAGAGAGAGACAGAACTGGCGCACTCTGTTCTTTCCATGTTTCATGAGAAAATGCATCGCGCCTAGCCGCAGCGCATACGTTATAGAGAGCGAATCGAACCACAACGCGACAACCAGGAAGTCGTCGATGCTGCAAAGGCCAGAGGACAAATTTACATCGAAGCAAGCAGCAACAGCGCCTTGCAAAACACGCGTGGCCGTGTTGCTGTATCGTGAACGTACACAACCCCGTGCGAATGCGAATGCGAACTAAGAGCTTTCTGACCGTGTGCGCAGCAAGTTAGTCGAGAGGGTGTTTGAGTAAGTGCTGAAAGCGATCCGGATCCAGCTTCAGGGTTGGAAAGGAGAACTGAGCTCTTGAGACGTGAACTTGAATTCAGCTGACAGTTTACTGCGAGCTGAGAACATATCTTCCGGTTCTTGTCTAGAAAAATACTGAAAAAATTTTAAAACCCACGCAACTTACTGTAAGACCTCAGCGACAACCATGTTCTACCGGCAATTTATTCCACTCGAGTATTTATCTGTGCACACCAACAATTTTTACATCTTTTCTATATACACTAATTCACCGTTTTCGCGAGCACTATTAGAAATTCCAGTTTTGGGGGGACATCATAGTCGATACTGTCAAATTATTTTCATGTCCACTTACTAGGATGTGCACGCATCTCCTCATCTGCAGGTTGTGCGAGTAACAGGTTTCCAAAGATAAGTGATAACGATGGCGAAAATCCTTACACAGATGCCCACACACAAGTCCAAAAAAGAGATAACCTAACGTATATTTCAGATTCGGTGAGACATGTACAAAAATATTCGTCGAAAGAGCTGAACAAGACTGCTTAAAGAGCTGGTAAAAATGCGATAACGGCAGCCTCGCTGCTTTTCCCAAATCAATTTACCGGTTAGATCAATGCCAGTGAAATCGTTGCGTGTGGAAGGTAGGCTGTAGCAACACAACAAAACTAACCACACAGCGAAGGATGCTGCTGTGGAAGTTGTTGCATTCAGAGAGCGCCAGTATTTGCTACATGTGAGATAACACCACATTAGTGCCGAATCGACAAACAGCCACACAGACTACCGGCAGACAGATATATAGATAGATATATAAATAGAAAGATATAGACAGAGAGAGAGAGAAAGAGAGACGCACACGGGTAGAGAGGTATATTAACTTACAAGCGAGAACAAGAGCGAGGTGGGACGATATCGAACATCAGTAGACAGCATTTTGAGCACGGATTCCTGAAGACCGAGTGGCATTCGATTTGCAATCTGGGGAATGCTAGCATGCAGCTAGAAATAATGCCGTCCGATCAATGACTCTCATATGAAGGTACACTCATTTGCATGCCCTACACACACACGCGCGCACACACACACACACACACACACACACACACACACACACACACACACACACACACACACACACATATATATATATATATATATATATGATGACGATGGATGGTCGGGATGCGAAGAGTCGAAAGAATATTTAGATATATGCTAGGATAAGAAGTGAACGTGATTAATGAAACATCAAAGGGAAAACAACCATAGCTTCGAGAGAAAACAATTCAATTACCCAATGGTAATTTCGCCTCCAGCTGATATCACGATACTAGAAGCAATTAGTAACGAATAAATATACTATAGGCACTATATATTTTGATGGAATGGAAAGACGCAAGCATAAGAAAAACGTTTGCATTCTATAATACAGCAAACTGCATAGTCTAGCAGAAAGCTGTCTAATTCCTCGTCGTCTGGAAAAACAGTCCCAATAAGCTTCATTGCATAAAGCGAGTTAAACCATTAAAATAGTATCAGATTGAAATGATGGGAGGCGAGTACCGTGAAATACCGTTAATATACTTTATCAGTGCCGATTATTTTCGATTTTTCAATTATAATATTTCCAGTAATAGTATCTTAAGTTCTTAATAGCATCTTCGTTATTTTTTAATAGCATCTGCAGTTAGGAGACAAGACAATGCCGAGAGATCTGCATGCGGTTATCGGCTGGGTACGCGTGAGAGAACGTCTGGCGATGGCGAGAGCGAAACCTACCTCGTCTAGTTTCTTCAGGTACATTATTGAGCTGTGGTTACTTTCTATCAACGATCTACCGTTGTTGTATAGCGAACATATCACCATGCCTGAAACACAGATAACGATATCGTTTGGTTTAACACCGCTATTGTCTGTGTCGGGGTGGTCGAAGTGAAGGTCATAGCCAATTAGCACGTCTATGGGACGAGCAGAGCATTCGCTGAACGATACCCGAACTTATGGATTAATAGTAGATTTTTTTATTCACACTTTCAATCAATATATATACAGGCACTGTAGTACGGGCAAGATTACGGCGGTTACGGTAAGTTCATTAGAAGCGGACATATGCCGTTGCCGCCAATTAATGATGAGATTTTCAAATTAGCACGATGTGGCTGACGTCCCTACGACGCACTAATCCTACACAACCGACGATTGTCGCTTATAATTACGCTATGTAAAACACGTACACGGGTGGTTACAGCGACAACGGCATCGTATGTGCATGTGCATCCATCGGAATATATGCTCGCGTTATTATCCATTTATCTATCATTAATTCCACTCGGAGTCCTGCCGAGTTCTCTCTCTCTCTCTCTCTCTCTCTCTCT